CATACGAATGGACGGACATTGCTAGTTCGATTCTAAATGTCCTGAAACGGATTTGGTCAAAAGAGACATAGGGTCTAAACCCCTTATTTCGATGAGGCATGTTTTGGCCCTATCAAATGATATATACCCTTTCTAGCCAGGGTATAACAAGTAAAAAGCGTTCAGTTAATTTCTGCCGACATTTTAATGAGGCAAAGAAAATCTTTAACAAGAAAAGTATCGAGATTCAATATTTGAACGAGGTCCATTTTTCATAATACAGTTAAAGTCATTCGTATGCCATAAAGTGGGCGGTTCCATTGTGTGGAGTCTGTACCACAAGGATTATCTATTGCAAATTTCGAATACCAAATTTGAAACAATTCCGTAATAAAAAATGACAAAGATCACCAAAAATCCGAATATACAGGGTGATATTGAAATTCCAAAAAGTGCAATAACTTACACCCCAACAGAAAGAAAATAGACTCAAAAGAGCTAAAGAGTTGCTTCGCTTGGCCAAAAGTGGTGAACTGCCGAATATGGTTTTCTTCGATGAAAAAATATTCGTTGTCCAGCAGTTTGTAAACAAATGAAAATGTGCACCTTCGGTTGGCCACCAGAACACAAGCGGCGGCCATGGTGATGGTGTGGGCCACCAAAACAGCCGATGGTCGCTCTCCGCTCGTATTAATTGACCGTGGCATTAGAATAAATGCCGACTATTATCGCGAAAATATTCTGGAGGGTGTATTAAGATCTTGGGCACGCAAACATTTTGGCCGCAGACCTTGGACATTCCAACAGGAGTCAGCACCATCGCACTCAGCACTCTCCACCCAAGAATGAAAGAATGGTTACAAAATGAGGTTCCTCGCTTCAATTCCAGCGCAAAATGGCCACCAAAATCTCCGAATACCAATCCATTGGACTATTGTGTCTTGAGTATTTTGGAAAGCAAAGTTGGCACTAAAAAATACCAAAATGTAGATCACCTCAAGCAAGCGCTTCACCGGGAATGGGCCAAAATACCGCAGAGAAATATTCGGGCAGCGTGTGACGGTTTCATTGGCCGTTTAAAAGGCCATAATTCTATTTCTATATTTTTTCTAAAATTTAATTTTTTCTAAAATTTTTGTTATTTTGGACATTTTTTGCTTTTATTCAATAAAATTTAAAAAAAAGTAAAAATTATGGCGTTTGACTTTGTTGCAGTTTTTTATCTCACCCTGTATATGGTCTATACAATTGCAACCAGTGCACTTCTGATAACATCTCTATTTTAAGAATATATTTTCGAATTTTACTTAAAATGGAAATGACACCAACCAGAGATAGCAAACAGAAAAACAACAAAAAACAATATCTCACACACACACACAAAGATTTACACACACCAAAACAGAAACCACCTAAGATATGACTAATATTGCAATCTGAGTATTTTCCATTTTTCGTTTTTTTTCCATTTGGAAGGGGTATAAAACGATAAGACTGCATTCACTGATATCTACCTGTTGTTGTGCCACTTAAAGCCTGTTAACACTTATTGATGGCTAGTGATGTCATAATATTCCGTTTTTACACACAATATGTACACATCATCATTTCAATTTCATATCTATAAAAGTTATTAAATGTGACGTTATTGCAATCTGCGTTGGTACTATTATTTGTAGAACCAATAAGCGACTTAGCTTACATAGAAAGTTCTTCTAACTGTCCGGTTCAAAGATCTCTCATTTAATTACAGGTACGATTATACTTTGTACCTTTTTCTAACAACCGATTGTTTGTGGTTAATCACGAGTTAGAAAATGCCATTCGTATTAAAAATATGTAATACTTCGTCAGCGAAAAGTCCACTCTTAACATTTAAGGTCGTGTTAGGCCTTTTTAGTACTCGAATGCACAATTTTTTCATTTTGACAAAATTTTTATACCCTCAGCCTCAGAGGGTATATATCATTTGATACGGCCAAAACATGCCTCATCGAAATAACGATTTTTGACCCTAGGTATTTTTGGACCAAATCCTTTTCAGGACATTTGGAGTCGATCTAGCGATGTTCGTCCGTCCGTCTGTCTGCCTGGTGTGTATGATAATTCTCGAAGGGAGAATCCAAACTTGGTCCATTGTAATATTATTGTCATCGAGTTCGGAGATGGGCAATATCGGTCCACTCCTTCTGGTACCTCCCCCCACAATATGTAGACATTTTCAAAAACAAGTTAAAGAGTATTTGTCGGTTTTGCCGATAGATGTATATCTTCAGCCAATGTACGATTACTTAAAATATTTTGACTTCTGTTATGATTATTCTAATGTTTAACCCCTTATGGAGTAGGTTCCGAAAGAATGGACCAATATAATCGGACCTAAATAAATATGATATAAATATTGCGACATGCCAGGTTTGGACTATATTAGTAACTTCCTTCTCTCTACATGACATATATGATAATTTTTAGAAAATGTTAATGTGCGTGACCTACCAGATATAGTCGATTGAATCATTCCATTTTCATGCTTCATCTAATACATATAAAAATAATGGTATGAGCAATATTACAAGAAAATCGAACATTTATATCCAATTTATTGAAAATCATAAATTCCATATTCCTCTCAGGTTTCTGGCAAAGAGAGATTTATTCAGATATAGCAAGTTGTAAAGAATCGCTGACTTGTTCCGCAAGTTATGACAGATAAAAATATTGAAAATTGTGACCCTTTGTGAATGAGGTACCATGTATGAGGAGCTCAGAGATATATATAATCTGCACAACAGGTATTGAATTAGCAAAAATGTTTGTATTTGTGAAATTTGAGAAGAGTTGGATGCTTATTTCGCTTTCTTTGAGCCTTTGTGGGGGAGGTACCAGAAGGAGTGGACCGATATTACCCATCTTCACGACAGATCTTTTGTTAGTGAAAATAATGGGATGTGTGAAATATAAAGAAAACCTGATGCTTATTTCGGATTTTATAAACGTTTTGGCTATTCACAAATTTGACCCTTTGTGGGGTACCAGGTACCAGAAGGACTTGATGGAGTGGACCGATATTTTTCATTTTTGCACCTGACCTAGAACTGACGCAAATATTATGAAATGCAAAGTTGGAGCAAAATCGGATTATTGCTTCTCTTTCTGTGCAGAAATTTTGACTCTTTGTGGAAGAGGTACTTGATGGAGTGGGCCGATATTGTCCATTTTCGCACCTGATGTAGCACTGATAGTAATATTAGGATTTGCAAAGTTGAAGCAAAATCGGACTATCGTTTCTTTTTCGGTGCAAAATATTTTTTGAAAATTTCGACCCTTTGTGGGAGAGGTACCAGAAGGAACGGACCGATATACTGCACCCTAACACCAGACCTTGGGTTGATAAAAATATTGTGGTGTGTGAAATTTCAAGACAATTATTTTTTGTGGTGGAGGTACTTGATGGAGTGGACCGACATTGTCCATTTTCGCACCTGACGTAGCACTGACGCAAATATTAGGATTTGCAAAGTTGGAGTAAAATCGGATTATCTTTTGTCTTTCTGTGTAGAAAATATATATATTTTTGGAAATTTCGACATTTTGTGTGGGAGGTACCAGAGGGAGTGGACGGATAAATTTTATTTTCACACCAGACCTTGGGTAAAAAAAAAATATTGAGATGTGTACAATTTGAAGATAATCGTACTTTTACATCACATTTTATAAGAGTTGTAATTATTTATTAATTTATTTATTGTATTCAAGGTTTGCGTGCACAAGGCTTTATTACACCCTCCAGAATATTTTCGCGATAATATTCGTCATTTATTCTGACCATCGGCTGTTATGGCGGCCCACACCATCTCCATTACCATGGCCGGCGCTTGAGTTCTGGTGACCAACCGAAGGTGCACATTCTCAGCTGACCTCTTTGTCAAGTAAACACGATCGTTTTGTTTGTTTACAAACAGCTGGACAACGAATGTTTTCTCATCGGAGAAAACCAAATTCGGCAGTTCACCACTTTCGGCCAAGCGAAGCAACTCTTTAGCTCTTTTGAGTCTAATTTTTTTCTGTTGCGATGTAAGTTCTTGCACTTTTTGGAATTTAAATGGCTTTACCCCGAGCTCATTTTTCATTATTAGCGGAATGGAATAATGCGATATGTTCAGCTCACGAGCCATTTTTCGGCCACTGCGATGCGGATTTCTATCAAGTCGCTTGTTTACTTTTCGAACCATTTCTGCTGATGTTGCTGTTTTCTTCCGTCCACTTCCTTGACGTCGGGATACGCTACCAGTATCACGGTAATGAGCGATAGTACGAGACACAAAAGAATTCTGGAGTGCTCTAACGATAGCCACTTGTGGTTTTCCAGCCAAATATAACGATATCACGCTTGATTTCCATTACGAATAACATTTTTTCTGGAAAATTCTCACCAAAATGCTTTTGTACGCTTGTAAACAATATAATGAGCTGTAACTGGAATAATTTTAACAGCTGTCGGACGAGTGGCTTAGAAATTAAAGCAGTCTGAAGTTGGTAGCAGTTTTTCATCTCACCCTGTATGTATAGATACAGAAGATATCCGCCATTCATGTATCATGAAGGTCTCTCAGAAATTTGAAATATATTAGATATATTCAGAAGAATATTGAATGGTCGAACTTGACTATATTACTTTGATTGAGTAATCCCATCAAGAGAAGCACATCAGGTTGGACCTGGACTTGCCTTTCCGGTGGGCTAATCCTTTTCACACCAGAACGTAAAAATACAAATATAGTGGATTCCATTAAGGAGTTTTTTTTTTGTCAAAAATTAAAAAATAAATCAAGGATATGATCCACCGTGAAATTGTGACCAACTCAAATTTTTGATCAGTTTTGTATTTCTGAATAAAGATATTAAAATTATTATATACTAAGTCCACCTAAAAACAACATCGATATCATCAGTTCATGGAAAATATATATTTTTATCTCCCACTTCAACTTTACTAACGTTTTTCAATCTTTTTCCCGTAGGTAAAAATTCCCTCGAACATCGTGCCAATTCGAAATTCGAAAAACCTCTCGACTACATTGAGTACCTGCGAAATGGCGAACACAGTGAACCAAAAATCTATGCCTGCCTGGAAAGTTTACGTGTTGCACTCACAAATAATCCACTGTCGTGGATTAAGGAATTCGGAGAGGATGGCATCGATGAGATTATCAATTTGATGCGACGCTGTAAAAAGGAACGAACCTTGGATCGCATCGAACTGGAATGCATACGTTGCCTCAAGGCCATAATGAATAATACATGGGGATTAAATTTGGTCCTAACGCCAGATCAACATACGGTTGTATTGCTACTGGCACAATCGCTTGATCCCCGCAAGGTGACCACAATGTGTGAGGCTGTAAAGCTATTGGCCTCATTCTGTTTGGTACCCGAACGCAACGGCTATGACAAGGTTCTGAGGGCCATTACAACGGCAGCCTCAACATCGTACAAATCAAGTGAACGCTTCGGCCCATTGTCGACTCGCTGTTCATATCGGAAAAATATGATCCGCGTCGTGAGTTGGCCTGTCACAGTTTGATTTTCATCAATACCCTCACAAACACCCCCAGCGACTTAAATTTCCGCCTCCATCTGCGCTGTGAAATCATGCGTATGGGTCTGTACGCGAAATTCGACGACTTCAAGAACATGGTGGAGGCGAGCAACAATGACTCGCTGAAACAACATTTTAAGATTTTCAATGAGATACGTGAGGACGATTTCGAGGAGTTTATCCAGCGATTCGACAATGTCATCTATAATATGGATGATGTGACGGACTGCTTTGAGGTTGTGAAGAATTTAGTTACCGATACACCTGCAGAACCCTACTTCCTGTCGATAATGCAGCATTTGCTGTACATTCGCGATGACTTCTACTACCGGCCAGCCTATTATCAATTGATCGAGGAGTGCATATCGCAAATTGTCTTTCACAAAGGTTACTGTGATCCGAATTTCGAAAATCGAAATTTCAATATCGATACCTCATTGCTGTTGGATGATATCGTGGAAAAGACGAAGGCCAAAGAGTCGCAACGTGCCGAAGAGTATGAGAAGAAAATCGAGCAATTGGAAAATGCCAAACAGGAGGCTGAAGCCAAGGTTGCGCTGTTGGAGGAGAAAATCAAAGATATGGAGAAGAATGGTATTGCGGCTCCATCGCCAAGTAAACTGCCGAAGGTGAATATTCCCATGCCACCACCGCCGCCAGGAGGAGCAAGAATGCCAGCACCGCCACCACCACCTCCTCCACCGGGTATGGGAGGGGGTCCGGGCGGTCCACCACCTCCGCCACCACCAATGCCCGGTATGGGTGGTATACGTGGTCCACCACCGCCACCTATGCCTGGCATGGGTGGTCCTCCTCCACCTCCCATGCCGGGTATGGCCGGAGGTCCGCGACCACCACCAATGATGATGCCCATGGCGCCAGTCTTGCCACATGGCCTTAAACCCAAAAAGAAATGGGAAGTAAAGAATCCCATGAAACGTGCCAATTGGAAAGCCATTGTCCCACAAAAGATGTCGGACAAATCATTTTGGGTCAAGTGTGAAGAGGATAAACTGGCCTCCGATGATTTGCTTGCCGAACTTGCTATTAAATTCTCCTCCAAACCCATCAAAAAGGATCAAAAGGATAGCGTCGATAAGCCATCTACGCTGACCAAGAAGACAATTGATTTGCGTGTTTTGGATGGTAAATCGGCCCAGAATTTGTTGATTCTTTTGGGTGGCTCCCTCAAGCATTTGTCCTATGAACAAATCAAGATATGTCTTTTACGCTGTGATACCGATATTTTGTCTTCCAATATTCTGCAACAATTGATACAATATCTACCGCCTCCAGAGCAATTGAAACGTTTGCAAGAAATCAAGGCCAAGGGAGAACCACTACGCCCATCGAACAGTTTGCAGCGACAATAGGTGAGGCATTCATTCCACTTCAATAACAGCTGAAGTCAATGTTAATTTATTGATCTCTTTATTTTTCAGGTGAAATTAAACGTCTCTCGCCACGTTTGCATAATCTCAACTTTAAGCTAACCTTTAACGACATGGTCCAAGACATCAAGCCAGACATTGTGGCCGGCACCGCGGCCTGTGAAGAGGTGCGCAATAGCAAGAAATTCTCCAAATTCTAGAACTAATACTGCTCATGGGCAATTACATGAATTCGGGCTCAAGAATGAATTGGCGTACGGTTTTGAAATTTCCTATCTGACAAAATTGACAAACACCAAGGATACCGAAAATAACACACACTGCTACACTATTTGGTCGATGTGGTGGAAAAGAAATTCCCCGATGCCCTGACATTCTACGATGATATGTCACATGTCGATAAAGCGTCTCGAGTCAATTTGGATACAATACAAAAATCGATGCGACAAATGAATTCAGCCGTTAAAAATCTAGAAACCGATTTACAAAATAACAAAGTGCCACAATGTGAGGATGATAAGTTTGCGGAAGTAATGAGTAAATTTGCGGGCGGATGTCGACAGCAAGTGGATGTGTTGGGTAAGTGGATTAGTGGCTAAGTTTAACTTTCACTCATAAACTTAAGCTAAGTTGATTAAATAGAGAGAATAGAGACAGGAAAATAGAATATAAAGAAAAATATATAGGAAGGAAATAGAAGGAATGTTGGATGTATGTGGAAAGTTATAATATTGTAAAATTATTTGTCCCTGTAACTGTCTTCCTGGCGTTAAGTTTTTTTGTAGGTCTTTGCAAATTCTTCTTATTTAGTCTTTAAGAAACGCTTATTTGGCTAAAAAAAATAAAAAAAATATTAGGATCACTCTCTATTATTTATGAGGAAGGGAGCTTTCAAAGCCACAATTTTGTTTATACTTATTGAAAGGACATCCCAGAGAGAGTATTCTCATCGCTGCTGTGAAAATCCAATTACACTTTGCGCAAAATTCAATTGTTTCCATAATTACATGAAAACATGCAGTAGATTATGAATGTAGAGTTAAAAAAGAATACACTTATATCGGCGTTTTGAAAGTTTACATCGCAAAGTGCAAGTTCCCCCTCATCTACAATGTTTGGATAAAAACTTCTTCAAATACTTATATTTTAGGTATTAGGTATGTTAATAAGGCAAAGGGGTCTTCTTGGTTTTTAAAAAAATTATTAGTTTTTAATCCCTTTGTCATATACCTCAAAATTGTTTGTTATATTCCTCAGAGTATGTCAAACCTCTAAGTCTTTTCTAAACGCAAGAAATTCATAAAAATTAAAAAAGAAACACATTTAAGATTTAAAGACGTGCTTCATATAAGTTTATGCAAAATACTCCTTCAACGCATAACTTTAGGAGAATGACGTTAAAGACAACAATGTAGGGTGAGATAAAAAACTGCAACAAAGTCAAACGCCATAATTTTTACATTTTTTTTATTTTATTTTATTTTTTTTTTTTTGAATGAAAATGAAATTTTAGAATAAGTTTAGATTTATTCGAATTGGTCAGCTTTGGCACGAATTATGGCCTTCAAACGGCCAATGATACCGTCACACGCTGCCCGAATGTTGCTCTGCGGTATTTTGGCCCCTTCCCGGCGAAGCGCTTGCTTGGGGTGATCGACACTTTTTGGTGCCAATCTTGAATTTCCAAATTACTCCAGACACAATAGTCCAACAGATTGGTATCCGGAGATTTTGATGGCCATTGTGCGCTGGAAATTCAGCGAGCAACCTCATTTTGTAACCAACCATTCTTGGTTGGCGCGTACTGAGTGCGATGGTGCTGAGTCCTGTTGGAATGTCCAAGGTTTGCGGCCAAAATGTTTGCGTGCCCAAGGCTTTAATACACCCTCCAGAATATTTTCGCGATAAAATTCGGCATTTATTTTGATACCACGGTAAATTAATACGAGCGGAGAGCGACCATCGGTTGTTATGGCGGCCCACGCCATCACCATGGCCGGCGCTTAGGTTCTGGTGGCCAACCGAAGGTGCACATTTTCAGCTGACCTCTTCGGCAAGTAAGCACGATCATTTTGTTTGTTTACAAACTGCTAGACACGAATGTTTCTCATCGGAGAAAAACCAAATTCGACAGTTCACCACTTTCGGCCAAGCGAAACAACTCTTTAGCTCTTTTTAGTCTATTTTCTTTCTGTTGCGGTGTAAGTTCTTGCACTTTTTGGAATTTCAATGGCGTTACCCCGAGCTCATTTTTCAATATTTGACAAATGGAATATTGCGATATATTCAGCTCACGAGCCATTTTTTCGGCCACTGCGACGCGGGTTTCGATAAAGTCGCTTCTTTACTTTCGAACCATTTCTGCTGATGTTGCTGTTTTCTTCCGCCACTTCCTTGACGTCGGGCTACGCTACCAGTATTACGATAACGAGCAATGGCACGAGACCACAAAAGATTATTCACATTTAAATGCTGGAGTGCTCTAATGATAGCCACTTGTGGTTTTCCAGCCAAATATAAAGAAATCACACTATCACGCTTGAATTCCATGACGAATAACTTTTTTTGTGGAAAATTCTCACCAAGATGCTATTGTACACTTGTAAAGCATATAATGAGCTGTCACTGGAATAATTTTAACCGATGTCGGACGAGTGGCTTAGAAATGACAGCAATCTGAAGTTGGTTGCAGTTTTT